CTGAGTTTAGATGAGTCCAATTCAGTAGGAAAGAATAAACCACACAGAATTCTCTATGTTCAAGGATTAATATTAGTTTTCATTTTGTGAAATGTTAAAAAACAAAACAAAACAAAAAATCACCTCTTTACATAGATCCTCTTAGTTCAGACTGTTTTATGGTCTGGGTGTTTTTAATGGCTTATCCTTGATTACTTCTGATGATCTCTGGCTACACCATTGCCCAGAAAGCTGATCCCCTTTAATGTTTAGCCTTAAAACCATACCTTTCAGGCAAACAAGACATTTGAATGTCATCTGCTCTTCTTTTTCTGAGACTGTTGTAAAGCAGATATTGTTAAAAAGTATTGAGGTAACTATGAATTTTGTACTAATTCAATTTTTCACATTTGTTTTTCATGAACATGTTATTAGATTCATTCATCTGATAATGAATATTCTAATTCTAAAGTGAGTCCATCATTTGTGTGGTATTTTGAGAGATGATTGAACATGTATCTATGTTGAATTTACATAAGTCAACACTATTCGGAGTGAATAACAAATAGGAGGGATCTTCAAAAGGTTCATAAAAAGATTCACATTATCTTTTAATTCCATTTTTCCATGAACTTTTTGAAGTACCACAAGTTTGGAGAAATACTAAATATAAAAATGAGATACTTTAGCATTAAAATTGATGTAGGATTAGGGTAAAGAATCAAACATGAGTTCTGACAACACAAAGTTTTCAAACAATTCTGGAAAGCTGTTTGATCAAAGTTGTTTGAACAACTTCATATGTATCAACCAGCCATCCATATGTACAAAAGCAGTGCTAAACAAAGATCTGACCCCTACACGTAAATAATACACTCTTAAAAAACATACCTAAACAGATTCCTTAGGGAATAGGACGGGCACACAGAACACAATTATTTGTTCACAAAACGAGTCATTCATTTTGATTTGCAAAAGTCATAAAACAAAGAATCAACTTTTTAAAATTTTATTTTGATCATGCGTGAATAGGAAAGATGAGGAAACAATGTATTTTTTCCTAAGGATAAAAAGAACTGCTGAGAAATCATCAGAACGTTGGAAGCAGTCAAAATCCACAGGGTAAACCTTCAGATTTCTAGAGATCCAACGAGCATGTGTGTCAATATCAAAAGCGAAGCCAATGTTGAGTTTTTCAAATGTCAATGTCATTGATTCTAACTTCTGTGATGAGTTCGGCATAAGTGATGGAGTGTTATTTAAATCAGAAAGCATTTTGCAGATTCTGGGTGATCAAAAATGTCAAGTATATAAGTCTGTGATTGGCTACATTATTCTAGCAATAATCTGGCCCATACAACAAATGTACAAACATTTCCTTGAAACTGACCTGCCATATTTTGGTCAAACTCTGCCAAGTCAATCCAGCAATTTTGCTAAATAAAATTTAGTGGTGTGTGTGTGTGTGTGTGTGTGTGTATGCATATAGTATACACACACATACACACAAATACACACTCCATTCTCAAAGGATCACATATGAAGAAGCTCGAAAGAATGATTGATAAAGGGGAAATCCACATATGAAATTAAGAAACATTTAAGTTAATGTAAGAATATTATGAAAATAAGTGTGAAAATAATAACGGCTAAAGATGAATGTTTTGATGAGAAAATAATATCTAGGTATTTAAAAACTAATCAGTTCTATTACTAGAATTTTAGCTTGTGTGTGTTTGTGTGTGTGTGTGTGTTTGTGTGCGTGCCTTATTTTGGTTGATAGAGAAAAGCTAATATTTTAGATTCATGAAAGTAGTCTAGGGGGAAAATGCCCACTGTTTTATGGGAGGGTAACACATTGATCTTATGTAATAATTAAATAAAAACATAGAGCTACAGTGCTATTCCTTTCTTTAAGGAAAAAAAAAATCTGACTCTTGTCAGGTAAACTGATCGACAAATAGTAAGTTTAATTCCTAACACCCACATGAGGCACAAGAATAGTTGGATTAACAACTCCAGTGTCATGCTGTCAGCTGCTGTTTATTTAAATTAAAATGTCACCATCCAGAAATAAATTAGGAAGTTGAAAAATGATAAATTTCTTAAACATACAGTACTTCAGCACCTTGTTAAAATAAATGCATTACATTTGTGTTTTTGTAGAATTTTACATAGGCTATTTCCATTATGACATTCAGAATATAGCAGGATTTGTTTTTGTTTTCTTTTCTTGCTTGTTTAAACCTCTTCCTCTCTCCCTCCCTCCCTCCCTTCCTTCCTTTCCTTCTTTCTTTCTTTCATCTTTCTTTCTCTTCCTTTTTTCTTACTGTCTTCATTGCCTCTATCTATCTATCCTACATGAGGCAGGAAAAACAATTTTCTATTCATACATATGTCTAAAACATGCTGTTCATCTACTGTTTATCTAAATATATCTACATTTTTACAGATTTCAATATTGCCTTCCTACAACTTAAACCATTGATCTTCTTGGGTTCTACTCTTCTGTTTTATTCATATGTTAGATATGAAAAACACTTCCATTCTCCATGAGATTTTACCTTGCTTCCTGTCATTTGAAGATTAAAATTCAGTCCCATCCTTTGCTATCACCTATATCCCAAGATATTTTAAAATATTTTAAGCTCTGGGTTCATGGCGCACTACGTTATTTCACTTTAGGAGCCAAATTGGTCATGAGTAGGAAGAGAATTAACAACAGAGGAAGAAAAATATTCCCTCTCTGTTCCCACTAGGATCTGTATCTTGCCTGTGACTTTGAAGATCATAAATGATGCAAATGCACACTATAATGCAGGTTAATCAAATATGAGACAGTTGTATACAAACATATTTAGCATTAACAACATGGAGATATTTACTTGGCCGGGTTTTCCATTTTCACATAAAAATGCCTCATATTCAGATGCGAATTCAGGGGCGTTGTCATTGACATCCAGCACTTTAATAGCAACAGGTACTCGTGATATCTGACTGTGGTTCCCTATGGGAAGGAAAAAATAACATCAGCATTGAGGGTATTTCATTTTAACGTGCAACTCAACTTTCTCTTGAAAGCATGTGTGTCTGATTCTACTTCCCTTAATTAGATGTTTTCAACATGGTGATTATGGAGTCTGACCACTCAATAAGGAAAAATAGCAAGTGCTTAACTGCTTTAAAAAAAGCATAAATTTTTATTCCAAACATCATTTGCTGGAGCTTAGCTTGATAAAGAATGTATTTGAATAAATTAGAAAAGGTTTCCTTCATGAAGCAAGCTTTATTTTATAAATAAAATCCATTATTTTAAAAAATGTTGTATGCAACAAAGGTTTATCTCTTTGTTTATCTTGGGTAGAACACAACCCATTTTGAGCTATTACTTGTTTGACTGGCTATACATTAGTGATGAACATTAAAAACCCAGCAAAAGGCCAGAACCAAATCCCTTATTGAGAAGGGATCCTTAATAATTATAAAAGGGATAAGATTAAAAATGAAAGATCATATATTTTATGGATTTTTAAAAATTAAATATTGACTTTGGGATTTTTTGGGTAAGATGAACCTATGTCATTTGAATATTGTCATTTTCATAAAGATTTTCATCAATGTAAACAGATAATAATCTTTTAATCTTTCCAGGTCAATTCTAATAGCAGAGAACTCAATATATAATCCTTAATCCTTAAATCTTTAAATTTAAAAAAATACATATATGCATACATAAATACACACACACACACACACACACACACTCAGATCTGGTTCATTAATACATTGCTGACCTGGGCCATATTATGATTTTTCACTTATAATAAACACAATACAGTTTGACTTTGTACCATGTAATAATCTTTTGATCTGTTATAAATTATACAGAATGCATTGGAAATGGCAAATTATTTATTTGTGTTTCTGTGGCACTGAATATTTATAAGTAAGGCAAGAGGGGAAAAATATTTGGCTTTTGAATATGAACAGACTTACATTGCATATATCAAAAACTCCTTTTTGACAATTGATTAAATTTAGACCGTTAGAACCTNAAAAAAAAAATCTGACTCTTGTCAGGTAAACTGATCGACAAATAGTAAGTTTAATTCCTAACACCCACATGAGGCACAAGAATAGTTGGATTAACAACTCCAGTGTCATGCTGTCAGCTGCTGTTTATTTAAATTAAAATGTCACCATCCAGAAATAAATTAGGAAGTTGAAAAATGATAAATTTCTTAAACATACAGTACTTCAGCACCTTGTTAAAATAAATGCATTACATTTGTGTTTTTGTAGAATTTTACATAGGCTATTTCCATTATGACATTCAGAATATAGCAGGATTTGTTTTTGTTTTCTTTTCTTGCTTGTTTAAACCTCTTCCTCTCTCCCTCCCTCCCTCCCTTCCTTCCTTTCCTTCTTTCTTTCTTTCATCTTTCTTTCTCTTCCTTTTTTCTTACTGTCTTCATTGCCTCTATCTATCTATCCTACATGAGGCAGGAAAAACAATTTTCTATTCATACATATGTCTAAAACATGCTGTTCATCTACTGTTTATCTAAATATATCTACATTTTTACAGATTTCAATATTGCCTTCCTACAACTTAAACCATTGATCTTCTTGGGTTCTACTCTTCTGTTTTATTCATATGTTAGATATGAAAAACACTTCCATTCTCCATGAGATTTTACCTTGCTTCCTGTCATTTGAAGATTAAAATTCAGTCCCATCCTTTGCTATCACCTATATCCCAAGATATTTTAAAATATTTTAAGCTCTGGGTTCATGGCGCACTACGTTATTTCACTTTAGGAGCCAAATTGGTCATGAGTAGGAAGAGAATTAACAACAGAGGAAGAAAAATATTCCCTCTCTGTTCCCACTAGGATCTGTATCTTGCCTGTGACTTTGAAGATCATAAATGATGCAAATGCACACTATAATGCAGGTTAATCAAATATGAGACAGTTGTATACAAACATATTTAGCATTAACAACATGGAGATATTTACTTGGCCGGGTTTTCCATTTTCACATAAAAATGCCTCATATTCAGATGCGAATTCAGGGGCGTTGTCATTGACATCCAGCACTTTAATAGCAACAGGTACTCGTGATATCTGACTGTGGTTCCCTATGGGAAGGAAAAAATAACATCAGCATTGAGGGTATTTCATTTTAACGTGCAACTCAACTTTCTCTTGAAAGCATGTGTGTCTGATTCTACTTCCCTTAATTAGATGTTTTCAACATGGTGATTATGGAGTCTGACCACTCAATAAGGAAAAATAGCAAGTGCTTAACTGCTTTAAAAAAAGCATAAATTTTTATTCCAAACATCATTTGCTGGAGCTTAGCTTGATAAAGAATGTATTTGAATAAATTAGAAAAGGTTTCCTTCATGAAGCAAGCTTTATTTTATAAATAAAATCCATTATTTTAAAAAATGTTGTATGCAACAAAGGTTTATCTCTTTGTTTATCTTGGGTAGAACACAACCCATTTTGAGCTATTACTTGTTTGACTGGCTATACATTAGTGATGAACATTAAAAACCCAGCAAAAGGCCAGAACCAAATCCCTTATTGAGAAGGGATCCTTAATAATTATAAAAGGGATAAGATTAAAAATGAAAGATCATATATTTTATGGATTTTTAAAAATTAAATATTGACTTTGGGATTTTTTGGGTAAGATGAACCTATGTCATTTGAATATTGTCATTTTCATAAAGATTTTCATCAATGTAAACAGATAATAATCTTTTAATCTTTCCAGGTCAATTCTAATAGCAGAGAACTCAATATATAATCCTTAATCCTTAAATCTTTAAATTTAAAAAAATACATATATGCATACATAAATACACACACACACACACACACACACACACACACACACACACACACACACACACACACACACACACACACACACACACACACACACACACACACACACACACACACACACACACACACACACACACACACACACACACACACACACACACACACACACACACACACACACACACACACACACACACACACACACACACACACACACACACTCAGATCTGGTTCATTAATACATTGCTGACCTGGGTCATATTATGATTTTTCACTTATAATAAACACAATACAGTTTGACTTTGTACCATGTAATAATCTTTTGATCTGTTATAAATTATACAGAATGCATTGGAAATGGCAAATTATTTATTTGTGTTTCTGTGGCACTGAATATTTATAAGTAAGGCAAGAGGGGAAAAATATTTGGCTTTTGAATATGAACAGACTTACATTGCATATATCAAAAACTCCTTTTTGACAATTGATTAAATTTAGACCGTTAGAACCTTCATATTTGTTAAATATGAAAGTGCTTCTAAAACACACACCAAATAATCGTTGCCATGCTACAAATTTAAAGTTTGTTAACCTCACTGGCTATGCAACAAGATTTGAATTTAGTTAACTACCACAGCTACTATCCACTTCAGACATAAAACATAACCCCAGATCAAGGTGATGACGTCCAACTTTTCACCAGGTATATCCTTTTTCTTTTACTGTTTTATATCTATTTAATTGATTCTTTCTTTATTCAGAAAGGAAGCACATACCTCACTAGTTCTGATGAAAGGGAAAGCCTAAAAATAGTATAACACATGACTCTAAGACCAAAAAAAAAACCTTACGTTTTATGCTTTATCCACTCAACAAAACTTTGCAACGATTAGATTTTAAATAGAGTATGATAATCTCCTCACAGATTTACATCTCTTTTCTAGTCTGACCATGATCTGAACAGTAGCTCCTAGAGAGTATAAAGGAGTATAGTGTTTGTCCTAAACAAACACTGGGGCCCCAGTTTTGCCTCCTGCTATATATGAGATTCTGAGCAAGTTATTTAACTTTGTTTTATTCCTAAGGAAACTGAAACTCAAAAGGTAAACACTTTATTTATAGAATTATTATAAATACTATATGAAAAAAAATTAAAAGTGCTCAAATAATACTGGACACATATTCAAGGGCCCTCTAGCTTTTGCCTTTTGTAATTGTCCACATCCTCAGCACCATGCACATTGAGTGATTACTACACATGCTGTGAAATTTTTCACATAATTGTACCTCATTCAATCCACACAAAAAGACTATGAGGTAGGTAATGAAAGACCCATATTTTAGATGTGGAAATTGACACTTAAAGTGTTATATGCCTTTACCAGGATTACTCATTCAAAATGTAGTTGGAGTATAGTCTTTCAAACATGAGCTATTTTCATAGTATAATACTGACAAAGTCCAAAAAATATATACATATATATATATTTATAATTCATAATAAAACTATATATACAGTTCTATTATAAATATTTATAATATTTGCAATGTATAATTCATAAAAAACTACACATATAGTTTTATTATAAATATTTATCTCAAAGATGATAAAATATCAGGCTGACTATATCTAATAGGTTTTACCACCACTAATATTCTCAGAGTTGCACTTATTATCTGCAACCCTCCCTGAGAAACTGTACAACTTAACTTCCACAGATTTGCTCATGGTGCTATTTCACCCAAGCAGAGTCCCTTTAATTAATCAATATTCTTTTATAATTCTCTGTAATTCAACTCCAAGAACTATTGGTTAATCATTTATTTGTATAATATTCATTCTTTCCATTTCACATCTTAAACTAATTCTTGAGTACATAAATAGTTATAGGAACCTTCTGTTAGAATTTTTGTCTTTATGTAATCATCTAATTAATAAATAGCCAATGATCAACATAGACTTAATAAACTTCATGTACAGAATAAATGGTGAAAAATAGGTGCATAATCTTAGGAAAACTGAATGTGCAAGGATAAGCTATACTACTTCTTTAATGCTATTTTGTTCCTTCTAAAAGAAAGAAAATGCTAATCTTATTGAGTCAGATTCCCAGACAATGGTTGTTTGGGCCACGTCTACTAAATATAACATTCTTTTTTCTTTCTTTTTTCTCATGTGACTTGTACACAAACGCATAACCACATACAAACATGCATATACAGATTTTCTTCTCACTGTTTTGGTAAAATGATAATTATGCCAAAGTCCATGTTCTCATTTCTTCTCTCTTCTCTTTTCTTGCTCTCACAGTTGCAATAAATTGCAATTATCTTAGTCCTATGACCAGCAAGTATTAAAACTCAAACATAAAAGATGGAAAAGCTCCATGAGCTTCTTATTGAGGAAATTTCAACTTTGAAGTTACGTATCTTTTCTTACATGTAGTAGCTGGGACAAGGTGGTATTTATCTATTCTAGGAGTCCAGAGCAAATTGCCATCAAATATTTTCTGTTACAAGCAATGAATGATTGGGGAGCTATTACTTAACACTGGTAAAAAATCATAAATGAAAAAGAATGATCTTCCAGTTGTCATATTTCATTTCTCTCAGCATACTCACAAGGAAATAGTCTATTTTATGTAATGAGCACTGGGAATTTTGTAAATTATTTTATTTTCTTCTTTAGTTTGGCTTGTAGAAAACTCAGAACTAAAATTGGAATCCACCTGTAACAGCTGTAAAAATCCCATGGTGTACACTTTATATATTATGTTTAACCCAAATACAACTGATTTTTTCTACATTTACTTAATAATTGCCCAGATTTACTAAATCAGTCTCCTTATTTAGTTGAAGTTGCACTTCAAAAAGTTCCTGGAAAAACAGAATTAAGAGATAATACAAATCCTACCACAAACTTTATGAAGTACCCTTATATTTCTAGGTGTTTTGTGTTTTGTTTTAACTTAGTATTTTATAGTATTTTTCCTTTGAAAATCAAAACAAACAAAACCTAAAATGTTAACTCTGCACTGAAAAGTGATATGCTTACAGAGTATGCCCAGTATGCCCATGTAGCTTTGGTGTCATGTAAAACATACTGGACAGTTCAACCTAACTAAAAATAGTTTAATCCCTTCCCTTTCTAACTGCTAAATTCCTTGCTATCCCTCAATAGTTAGCCAAAGCCACATCTCTTCCAAAAAGCTTTTTAAATACATAGTTCTTTTTGTTTGTTTGGTTGGTTGTTTTTTGTTTGTTTGTTTGTTTGTTTTGTTTTTGTTTTTTTGTTTCTTTACTTATGTATGAGAGCATTAAGAACTCCACAGAACCAGTCACTAGAAAAACTGATGAAAATTATTTTTCTAAAAGTTAAAGTCTCTGAAAAAAAGTCCTAAGGGCATGTGGCAAATAAAGAAAAACGTATTTAAAGAAAAATCTACTGAATCTCAGTAAGAGAGTCTGTAGTATTAGAACTAAAATCTGGTTACTCTTTTCAACCTAACAATTCAGCAAGATGGGAAATCCACTCCAGACTAGTACACCTGAGAATGAAGAGCTGCCTTTCCCCCAAGTTCTCAGTTGGAGAATTATCTACTCAGGAGGCACAGGATGTTAGCATTTCTCACCACATCCAGCTACCAGTTCTGAGACTAAGTTCTGGTCAATTGCAGCAAAGAGGTGGCGACTGTCTTCTTCTACCATTTCCCCACTCATGGGACAAAGGCTCTACCTTGGGCAAGAAGTCACTAAAAATGCGGGGGCCATGATCACCCTTTTCATGGCTCATAAGAGGAAGTTTCTTGCTGGGGGAGGTGAACTAAGAAGACTGAGGTTACCACCTCTCCATCTCCCCCAAAAACTTAGCTCACTTAAAAAAAGGTTCCAGAACCAAGGCACAGAGATTTTGCCTGCGAGTAGGGGAGAGAAGCAGGCCATAAAGCAGAACATTTTGAACCTTTTATAAAGGAAATGAGTTCTTTTGCAAAGAAATGCAAAGTTCAAGCATAAAGGTGATCTCAAGATAGTGGAGGTGGCTATGCAAGGCAAATGAAAGAAGATTGGTAGATGTGGTATATTCACTGGAAATGAATCTACAGCCTGAACTGTAGGCTGGCTAGTTGTTGAAGAGAATTGGGTAGAGTCAACTGGAAGAAGCCCTCCAAGAGTAATAACAGATCTCAAACATTTACATAGGGAACAGGCCCTTCCAAAGATCTAGATGTAAATGGGTCACCCTGTGGAGAGAATTATGCAGCAGGGTATTGCTGAAAACAGT